GCATCTGTTGTCAATATAAAAGGACTTTCAAAGTCCGGATGAACTAAGATAGCAATGCTAGTTTATATTAGCTTACACTTGTTGAAAGCTTTTAAGAAGTCATGTGTGTGTACTACTTTCTCGTCTTTTCGGAGTCACTGTGTTAAGGGTTTGGTAATTCGATTGGATAGGCCAATTTTTAATTGCCTCTATTTTCTCTGGGTTAGGTTTTACACCTTCTTCGTTCACTATGTGACTAAGAAAGGAGACCTCTTGTCAAAAAAACTCGCTTTTAACAAGTTGTATCTTTAAATTAGCTTTTTCATGGTTGTAAAAACTTTATTTAGGTTGATGCAATGTTCTTGTAGGCTATAGCTAAAAACAATTATGTCATCCATACAGACTAGGCAGATTACTCCGGCTAGACCTATACGTATTGGGGCATGAAGTAGTTCGCCTCCTCGTGATGTGCCCTGGAAACGTTAATTATCGAACCCAAGGGAGAGATATTGCGGCTAAACGAACTACCGCAGAGTAGAGACGCTGAAACCCCATCCAGCTCGTCCCAGGAGGTTGAGAAGCCCTGCACAAACCCTCGTTGTGCAAAGGCAGGAGTGACGCCGGGTTCTTAGAGTGCTTAGCACACGCAGCTGGTAAGCGGTCACATCTGTCCTAAGCTACCCTGTTGGACAGTTGGCTGGCTATCACGTCTGCTCTAGAACCTAGGCGAACAACGAACAGTGAACAACAAGAGGAGGTTGAGAAGCCCTGCACAAACCCTCGTTGTGCAAAGGCAGGAGTGACGCCGGGTTCTTAGAGTGCTTAGCACACGCAGCTGGTAAGCGGCACATCTGTCCTGTATGAGTCCTGGACAGTTGGCTGGCTATCACGTCTGCTCTAGAGCTCAGGCGAACAACGAACAGCGAACAACAAGAGGAAGGCCCTGCACAGCTGCTCACTGTGCAGTAGCGAGTGTCAAGTCGAACACAACACCTAGTGATGCGCCATAGCGCAACCGGCCCCCTCCCATGACGTAATGCTTTCGGGCGGTTCCGGGGAGGGCAAGGGCCTAGAGCACAGGGTAAGGTTTAGTGGGTCGGGAGAGCTACTTCTCCCATCCCCACACCCTGAGTTATCTTCTCAGGTGTCTGGGAACAGATTCCCCCCTGTATAAAAAAAGGCTTATAAGTATGGCATTTATTGTTCGTTGAAATGGTTTGAACGGAGTTGCTCCATGATCTTCGATTGTCTGTTCCATATTCAAAATAAATTACATTTCATTTTAACCTAGGTGCTCCAGTTACTTCAGTGACTTACCAGCCTTAATTGTTATGATATATATCATAGCTTCAAAATCTTCAGAATCATCTTCAGAACTGAATCCTTTGAAGCGCTTTTTTCCTGGTAGTGCAACAACTATACCATATTGGCTTAGCGTCAATCATAGCCGAACTAAAAACTTGTTTAAATATTAGAAGTTTATTCGTCAGGCAAAGTTTGGATTTTCTGTTTATAAGAGGATACAAGTATTTTATATATTTGTTACATTTGGCTTGAATGTCCTCAATGTGATCTTTAAAGGTTAATTTTTGGTCAAGTACTAATCCAAGATATTTCACTTGGTTTGACCAGGAAATTGGAACTCCGTTCATAGTGACTATGTGACTACTACTAGGTTTCAAAAAGGAAGCTCTAGGCTTATGTGGAAATATTATAAGTTGAGTTTTGGAAGCGTTTGGAGAAACCTTCCATTTTTTTAAATAAGAAGAGAAAATATCTAAACTTTTCTGCCGTTTGCTGCAAATAACACGAAGACTTCTTCCTTTAGCGGAAATGCCTGTGTCATCAGCGAACAAAGATTTGTGGCAGTTCTGAGGCAAATCAGGGAGGTCCGAAGTGAAAATGTTATACAATATAGGCCCAAGAATGCTACCCTGAGGAACTCCTGCTCTAACAGGTAGTCGATCAGATTTGGAATTTTGATAATTTACCTGTAGAGCTCTGTCAGTTAAATAATTTTGAACTAATTTCATAATATAACGAGTGGAAAATTAAACTTTTTCAATTATGCAATCAAACCTTCATGCCAAACACTGTCGAATGCTTTTTCTATGTCTAGAAGAGCAACTCCAGTTGAGTGGCCTTCAGATTTGTTTGAACGAATTAAATTGGTAACTCTTAAGAGTTGATGAGTAGTTGAATGCCCATGGCGAAATCCAAACTGCTCATCTGCGAAAATTGGGTTTCTTATTGATGTGAAGCATAATTCTATTTAAAATTATCTTTTCAAAAAGTTTACTTATTGTAGAAAGCAAACTTATTGGACGATAGCTAGAAGCTTCAGTTGGATTTTATCCGGTTTCAAAATTGGAACAACTTTTGCATTTTTCCGTTTATCAGGAAAGTATGCCAAATGGAAACATCTGTTAAATAATTTTACTTAACTTTTCAGTTATAGATCTTACTTCGTCCAAATCAGTCCCCCAGGAATCATCGAAAATATTTTCCCGAGAGAAAATATTCAGATAAACCTGTTTCTCAATAGGACTAGTAAGACCCAAACTGAAGTTATGGGAACTCTCGAGTTGCTTAGCAAGTTTCTGAGCTTTTTCCAAATATGTGATCAACATTTTACCACCTTCTCTAAGCACTGGAATAGGCTTTTGAGGTTTTATCAAAATTTTTGAAAGTTTCCTAAAGGGTTTGGAACTCGGGTCTAATTTAGAAACATTATTTTCAAAAGTTTTGTTCCTCAGGTAAGAGAATCGCTATTTAATTTGTTTTTTGCAAATCCCGTCGGATAATTTTCATGGCAGGATCGCGTGTTCTTTGATATTGTCTCCTACGGACATTTTTAAGATGGATCAAGAGCTGAAGATCGTCGACGGATCAAGAGCTGAATCAAATTTAACCTCGCATTTTGGTACTGAGGCAGCTCTTGCTTCAACTATAGAAGTAGTCAGAGATTCAAGAGCATCATTAATTTCATCTTTGGTTGGCAAAGGAATGTTTGGATCGAAGCTATATTCCATAAATGTTCGATATTTCTCCCAATCAGCGCAATGGTACTTGAAAGTAGAGCTGTTGGGATTAGAAATTATCTAGTTGTTTATGCTAGTTGCCTCCCTAAGCGGACCCCCCGCATTTCTTGATCTAGACTAATTCTAGACAACCCATCGGCAACCACGTTCTGTTTGCCTGGTTTGTAGATCAGTTCATAAAAGAATTCCTCCAATGCCAGTTTTCCTCTAATCATTTGATGATTTGCATTTGTGAATGAGAAGGTTAGCGGTTGATGATCCGTGAACATCTTAAACTTTCTACCGTATAGGTATGGCCTAAAGTGGTTTACGATTGCCAAAAATTTCTCCTCGGTGGGTAGAGTATCGTTCTTAGGTTTGATTCAAGGTGCGAGAAGCGTATGCGATAGGTCTGTCTTTGCCTACTGGGCTTGTGACAGTACTGCCCCTATTGCATAATCGCTTGCGTCTGTTGTTAGTAAAAACTCCGGATAAATCAATACTGGATCTAGAGTTTGGAGTTGTCTACATTTTTCGAAACATTTTTCAATTTCTGGAGTGATATTAAATTCGGTATCTTTCCTAAGGAGGTTTGTCAATGGTTTTACTATTTTAGCGAAATCTTTTATGAATCGCCTGTAGTAACCAATAATTCCTAAAAATTGTCGTATTTCCATTGTTTGATTCCTTATATTTTGTCACCGTGCGGTCGAACTCCGTCTTCTGACACTGTGTGGCCTAAAAATTGAGTCTCATTTCTAAAGAACTCGCATTTATCAATCTTTCTAAAACTTGTTTTGGATTTTTAGCATGTTCCTGAAGTGAGCTGGAGAATATGATAATGTCGTCCATATAGACGAAGCAACATATTCCTACTATATCTCTTGAGATGCAATCCATGACTCTCTGGAAAGTAGCCAGTACATTTTTCAAACCGAATGACATACGCGTGAATTCGTATTTGCCACCGTTTACAGAAAAAGCCGTATTTTTTCCATGTCTTCTTCCGCCAGTTGAGTTTGATGGAAGCCAGAAACTAAGTCGATGGTGGAAAAGTATTTCGCCTTTGCCAATTTGTCCAGAATATCTGTGATTTCCGGGATGGGGTACTTGCCGTTAATTGTCTTTCAGTTTAGTTTTCTGTAATCGATTACTAAACGGAATTTCTGTCGGCCAGATGCGTCTGATTTCTTGGGAACTACCCATACAGGTGAAGTGTATGGGGAAATAGATTCCCTTACAACGCCATCTTCTAGCATTTTATTATTATTATTATTATTTAGCTTTATTTAGGAGGTTCTAGCATTTTCTTGAACTGCTTCTGTACCTCTTTTTCATACACATACGGATATTTGTATGATTTAGAATGTACCGGAATGTTGTCTGCTGTACGAATATTATGTTTGATTTTGTGTGTGAATGAGAGCTTGTCTGACTCACTTTATTGAGTGTATGCTTCTCTTCGTCGTTTATGTGATCGTCTCGAAAATTGAAATTTTCAATGTCGATTAGCTTTGGTAAGTCAATTAAATCAAACGGGTCATGTTCTACTTGCGGTGGTTTACTGTAAGAATCCACGTTGTAGAATGATTTGGGTTCAATCGATAGATCGTTCATGTTAAGCTCCATGGGTTATTTCGAATGATTTTGCACTGCTATGAAAGCTGAATTGTTCGAGCTTCTATAGAGTCCAGGTAATATTGTATAAGAATCACAGGATTTTCCTTCCTCTATGAGAAAATCTCCATTTTTCCTTGTATTGATTTTGATCAAATCTCTAAGCGACTCATATCCCATCAAAAAACTTATTGAATTTAAAAACGTATAATTTGTGTTTTTTTTAGTGACTTGAAATAGGTCAAACTTGGCTGATGTATGGATCGTATGTATTCCCGTAAAGTTTGATACCCTTATTCCTTGTTCTGATTTGCAATTTTGAATTTGCAATTTTCAAAATGAACGTTCGTTCATGTCCACTATGGTTAACTGTTGCTATGTTGCTGGTATGTTGTTGTTGGTGGCGGTTGCCTCATGGTTGGTTCGTCGTAACGATGGTTGGTTTCTCATTGGATTTCCTTCCTGAGATAATTTCAAGATCATTTTCACTCAACTGTGTGTCAACTGTTGAACGCAGCCTGAACTTCGAAATTTGCAACAGCAAATTGATAGCTCTCCATAAGGATACTGGCTCTTGAACCATAAAAAATTGATTACCCCGAAGATAAATTTCCTTTAGGTTTGTCAACTTGGCAAATGTGTTCTCGTAGATGGTGGTGAATCCACAATCGTTGCACTTCAGTTTCTCCAGAACGTTACTTATCAAAAATGGCTTATACCTGACAGGAGCAAGCTCACGGTTGGAGCTAAGATCTATGGTCTTCATTTCCGGTAGTCCAGTCAGCAAAGTGGATGGTATCCAGCGTAACATATTTCCACTGAGGTCCAAAAATATTAAGCATCTGTTCTTTCGGAAAGCGTGTTTTTCAATCTGCGATATCGAGTTTTTTGACAGTTCCAGATACTCCAGCAGTGGCAATTCACGCAGTGATCGATTGTAGATTTTCACGATTGCACATTGTGCGCAGACAAAATCAGTTAAACTGGATGATGACAGCATGGGCGATCCATCGGCAGGGAATTCGAAATGGGCGTTACTGCTCATTACAAGTTTTTCCAAATCTGAGTACATTGAAAAGGTCGTGCTTTCGATGTTCACTAATTCGTTCCAGCCCAAATTGATGAACAGGACATTTGGGGAAATGGTTTCGAGCACTTTCGAAAGCTGATTAAAATGTGTCAGGTTAAGGTAACACAAATCGGCGTATCTGTAAGAGAAAATGTGGATTAAATGTGGAATCAAATGAGAATCCTATCAATCAACCACAAACCTTTCGTACTGAGGATCGTCCATTGTTTCAGTGCAATGCAGCATCATTATGAGCATAACAATAAGTGTGATACGGTTATCCATTTTGATGTCTTGATCACTAGTGCCTAGAGGAAAGAGAAAAACAAAATCTGAGCTTTTTTTCACAAGTTAAACTACATTTGGTTGTAAACCGTGATAACGTGGTTAAAAGTATATAGAATATGTCATAAATGGCGTTATTCTCCAAGATTTTCTATCATTGTAAACTATAAAAATGCTGCACAACAAATTTAACACGTTGATTAATGGAAATAAATTTAATGTTACTATTTTTTGTTCATTTCACAATGTCATGAAAGTACCACAGACAAACAGACATAATAATCGCCAATTGTTCCTCGAACAGGCATTTAACGGTCAATTTAAAAGTATCGTAGTTGGTAGTACCGTCACCTGTGGCGCGTATAGTCAGTTCCCTTGCCTTTAACGTTTATACACTATCGCCATCTGTTCTGCGTACTACCCACCACAGTGTACTCAACAGATGGCGGTAATGTTTTAGTGACAATATTTTACAGTGAGAAATATTCAATGTGTTATGTCTGTTTGTCTGTGAAAGTACCTTGAATTAGCACCTAACGTTATGTTTTCTCTCAATAAAGCTCTAAAACCTGCATATTGGATAACAATTGCGGGGTTGTGTACAAGACACGAGCGCATGATTGACGTAGACTACGTTAAGCTGTTATGTGAACTTCCCGTGTAGATTTCTAATTTGCTTCCTCCAAAGTAACACTCAAATTAATTTAAAGTACTTGATTTGAAAAAAAAATGAGCATTTTAAAACTTCTCTCCCATTCAATATTTTGAAATCTTCTGCTTCAAGCCTTTTTCCAAGAAGGCGGGTATTAGAGGCCCCGTTTGCTAACCGTGTCTTTAATTCAAAGTTGTGCTAACCGTGTCATTAATTCAATTTAAATATTCAATACTACATAACTATAATAAATACCAGGTTTTATTCACAACATATTTTATTTGAGCACTATTAATCGGACAACAGAGTTTAACCAACAATCAATACGAAACTAACGATTTTAAATTGACTCACTACTTGACTAGCCTATTGGTCCCAAGCAAACGATTAACGTACCCCATTTTAGTGGAAATTCTAGTACTACGCAATGTTTGTTTTGATTCCCTATGAAAGTTTGACAGATAAAATGAAGGATTAGTGGATTTTCCTATGTTTCGAGGGGTGAATCGATTAGCTTGGGACCGAAGATAAAGGGTGATACGGTCAAAATTTGGTCAATATCAACTTGACGTATTTCTTTCAATTTTGCATTTAAAAAACCTGAACACCCCTCATTTTGAAGGTGTGTGTGTGTAGAATGTTGCTCCTATTTTGATGTGTTGATTTTCAGTTGTCAAAATTCCGTCCAAGCAAGAAGAGCAGCGTATCAAAATTTTGCTCGCGCATCGCGAAAATCCGAGCTACTCGCACGCAAAGTTGGCAAAATCGCTAAAAGTTGCCAAATCAACCGTTACAAATGTAATTAAAGTGTTTGGGGAACGTTTGTCGACAGCCAGGAAGTCTGGATCGGGGGGAAATCGAAAACCGGAAGCCGCTGAGACGACAAAGAGAGTTGCCGGTAGTTTCAAGCGAAACCCTAACCTCTCTCTCCGAGATGCCGCAAATAAGCTGGGTGTATCGTCTACAACCGTGCATCGAGCCAAAAAACGAGCCGGACTATCGACTTACAAGAAGGTAGTGACTCCAAATCGCGATGATAAACAAAATACGACGGCCAAGGCGCGATCCCGGAGGCTGTACACGACGATGCTGACGAAGTTTGACTGCGTGGTAATGGACGACGAAACCTACGTCAAAGCCGACTACAAGCAGCTTCCGGGACAGGAGTTTTATACGGCAAAAGGAAGGGGAAAGGTAGCAGATGTTTTCAAGCACATGAAACTGTCAAAGTTCGCAAAGAAATATCTGGTTTGGCAAGCCATCTGTACCTGTGGCTTGAAAAGCAGCATTTTCATAGCTTCCGGGACTGTCAACCAAGAAATTTACGCGAAAGAGTGTTTGAATAAACGTCTGCTGCCTTTCCTGAAGAAACACGGTTGTTCCGTACTGTTTTGGCCGGATTTGGCATCTTGCCATTACGGTAAAAAGGCCATGGAGTGGTACGCCGCCAACAACGTGCAGGTGGTTCCCAAGGACAAGAACCCTCCCAACACGCCAGAGCTCCGCCCAATTGAGAAATACTGGGCTATTGTCAAGCGGAACCTAAAGAAGACCAAAAAAACTGCTAAGGGCGAGCAGCAGTTCAAGGCAAACTGGCTTTCTGCGGCGAAGAAGGTGGACAAGGTGGCTGTACAAAATCTGATGGCAGGGGTCAAGCGTTAGGCCCGGCAATTCGGATTTGGAAAAGCGGAAGCCTAACTGAATATTTTTCCTGAATTTTGTACTAATTGAACTTGAAAAAGAAATTTAATTTGATTTTTTAAATAAACGATTTCACCGATTTACACGCGTTTTCCCTTGACCAAATTTTGACCGTATCACCATTTAGTACCAGAGCTGAGCCAAAAAGTTGAGCTCGTTTCTTCGGGACCTTCTGGTCTTAGAGTTACCCACTGGCGTGCGCAGGGTGGGGCAAGGAGGGGGCAATTCCCTTATAAATAAGATTTTTATTTTCAAATTTACATAATTAGAATATAAAATAACTAGATTTCTTGATAACTTGATTTGAAGGTAAAATAACTTCATTTCATAATATAAGGGCACATAAATCCTTTTATTGCGTCAATTTCTTTGAGATGGTACCTGAAAATCGCACCACAAAAGTGCATGAAGGAACAAACTTCAATGAAATTTTTTGGTCAAAAGATTACACCACAGCGGTGCATACAAAAAATTCCTGTAGTATTTTTTTTTCAAGGTGGTTCATGGAGGATTAAAAGAAGAGGGTAAAATTAAGGTTAAAAAAAAAAATCCCCTTCGTGGTGGTAAATTGAAGAAAATGCGTTTTATTTAATATTTCTGGTGTAAAGATATCATCAAGGTGGTCCATTGAGGGACTAATCAAAATGAATAACTCTGGTGTAAAAATTGAATCACGCTAAAAATTTGGAGGTGCGCACTTAACTGAAAATTTATGGTGAAAGGACCGCTACACTGTGGTGAATGTAGAAGCAAGGTTCATTCATTTTTCTGGAGCATAATTTGCATCGTTCTGATGAATTCAAGCTTCAATGAAAATTCATGGTGGAAAATTTACACTATTCTGGTGCATGAAGAACCAAAGCCTGAAAATTGCACCACAAAGGTGCATAGTGAAACAAACTTCACTGACAATTTTTGGTGCTCTGTTCTGGTGAATGGAGAAGCATTCTTTATTGTAAATTTCTGGTGCAAAATTTGCATCGCTCTGATAAATGAAATGAACAGAAAATTTCTGGTGGAAAACTTGCCCTGGTCTGGTAAATGAAGGTACAAACTTTATTTAAAATTAAGCTTTATTGAAAATTTCAGGTAGAAAATCTGCACCGTTATGGGCAAGCTTTTCGGAAAAAATGTTGGTATTAAATTGGCATCCTTCTGCTGAATTGAGAAACAAACTTTAATAATAATTTCTGGTGTAAAATTTGCACCATTCTGATGATTGGAAGGAAGCTGTTTCACTGAAAATTTATGAGCTTTATTTGGTGGAAAACCTGTTGAACCGATTGAACATGTCTGGTGGAAAATGGAAAACGGAAATCTGCACCAAGGAGAAGATTGGAGAAGCAATTTTTATTGAACATTAACGGTGGAAAATTCGCATCGTTCTGGTCAATTGAAATTTTCTGGGGGCAAGTTTGTATTGAACATTTCTGGTGTAAGATTTGCAACAATCTGCTGCATAGAGGGGCAACCTGAACTGAAAATTCCTGATGTAGAAATTGCACAGTTCTGGTGAATGGAGGAGCAACTTATTTAACATTTCTGGTAGAAAAACTACAACTTAAACTTGACTTCTGAGAAGAATCTCAAGAGTATTGAATTCTGAGGACAGTTCCAGAAGAAAAGATTTCAGGGGATGATTCTATGAAAATTCTGCGAATTATTTGCAGTGAATCCTGCAGATAGTTCCAACATAATTTCGAATACTGAGATAATCAAATTTGGAGTGAAATTCCAAAGGGATGTTGAGGAAAATTTCAAGCTAACTCCGAGGATACTTTCCAGCTCATTCCGGGAAAAGTTTCTGAAAATCTAAAGAAATTTCAGATCCAAGGTGTTCTGAGAAAAATCATGAAGAGTTCTAAGTATAATTCCAGTGGACTTCTGAAATGAATTTCAAAACAGATCTTAGTAGAGTTCTAAAAAAATCCGAGAATAACCTCAAGGATAATGAATTCTGAGGACAGTTTCAAAGGATTTCTGGGGAGTATTCCAAGAAAATTCTTCGAATAATTTCTTGTGAATCCTGCAGATATTTAGTTCCAAGATTCCTAAGAAGAGAATTTCAGTTCCAATGTGTTATGAGTAAAAGTCAAGAAGAGTTCTAAAAATAATTCGAATGGACTTCTGAGAAAAATTTCAAACGAGCTCATAGAGTTCTAAAAATTTCGAATTCTGAGGATGGACTTTTTCGCAATTGTACAAAGTTTAAAGACAGTTTTTGGATTCTCTAATTGAAAAAGTGGTATTAGTTTGCCATTGAACCTTGGTCCATTGTTGTCTTACAAAGAATTCGTATAAGAATCTTCTCTGAAAATTCTGTAATTTGTTACCGTGGTTAATGTGCGTTGCAATAATTTCGGGATTGTCCTTTATATCATCATTAAAACATGTTGAATGTTCGGCATCAAGTTGCGGAACATTGCGAAAACCTTGCGAGAAAAACCAGTTGCAATCATTGCAGATGATACGAGTGATTGTGGCTGCCACGAGCAGTTGGTGATTGTCATCAGGTATATTGATAATGGTGGGATCAAATTGCCAATTCCATTGGCTGTCTGAAAGCAGTTTGCATTGAAGAAGATGAACCACCACCGGA